TCATTGAATCAATCTAGTGATCCTGTAAGTATAAATATTAGTCATAATATAATATTTCCTTTTTTTTTTTATAAGTTGAATATTTTTCTTTCTATATAATTGTACTATAGCGTGCACAAGCCCAAAATGAGAAGTTGAGTAGAATGGTAGAGGATCTTCATGACAGTGAAAGAAAACTAACTAAACTCTTGGAACAATATCAAAATCATGGAATATTTTGTGAGGTTAATAAACTTCAAGAATTATCATTTATTAAACTATAAAAGCTATACATATAATTTTTTATGCATGCTTCTTTAATTTGAAATCTAAATCATATTTTATGTTTATTAATTTTATGCATTTACATTATTTTTTAACAAGAATTAATAATAATAATTTTAAATTATTTATCTTTTAGAATGGTGAAAATAATAGAGAGGAAATAGAAGAAAATGATGTAAGTAGAGAAATGGAACTACGTAAGAAGATGGAGGAATCTCAAAGAAAACTTGCACAATTACAAGAACATCAAGCTAGTTTAGTTGGAATGCAATTGCGTGTTAGAGAAAGATTAAATGAAGCACGTCAAGCTCAACAAGCTCTTTTACAACAAGAAAATCAAAATTCAATTGGTTCAGCACTACCATTACCTATGAATATTGAACAACTTGAATCTGAAACAGCTGCATTAAGAGGAAAATTGGCTCAACTTCAAACAAAGAAAAAAAATATGGACCACCTTGTAGCAGAATTACAAGCTGTAGAGATGTCTGATAGAGGCAGTTGTGTCAGTACATTTTTTTTTTATTAATTTTATTCAGTTGAGTGATACATATAGTTATGTTTTTTATATTTAGAGTTCTGAAGGAATTATTCAAGGAAAATCTTCAAGAAGAAATTCTTCAAGAAATTTTGGAAAAGACAAAGCTGCTGAATTAGAAGCTATGAAAGCACAACTTGCTCATTTGAAGTCATTAATGGAAGAAGCAACAAAAGTACGTGAATGTCTCGATTCTAATTCGGATCGTGAAATGGATGTAGATGCAAATGGTGAAACATCTGGTGTGGATGGAAATGAAGATGAAAATGGAACAAATATTTCATTTGAACGTCAAAGTGATACTGACGAAACAAATCATGAAAAAATCAGAAATACTGGAGACAGGCCAACTGTTGAAGAAATTCAAGTATAAATACTAAATATAAACTAAAACTACATATTATATCGTTATATTTCTATAAATTAATAAATAAAAATTCTTTACAGGCTGTTACCCGAGAACTTCGAGAACAATCAGCTTTATTACAAACTACTAGGGCAGAATTACAACGAATAAAACAACCCTTATCAGCAATGCATTCTAATTCTACATCTGTATTTTCGACTTCAACTCCTCCTCCATCACTTACAGCATCAACTGGCTCTGATAAAAAGCAAAGTAATACTAATAACTATGAAATTCAATCTGCTCAGGAAAAAAGACGTCAAATCGATGATATTATGCGAAAAGTATTTATTTTAAATTTTTATATGCAAAAAATAATATTCAATATTTATTTTATTATTTATATTTTTATTAAAAAATAGGAATCATCTCAAATAAATGTTAATCGAGATATAGGAGGACCAAATGATTTAAGTAGTCATAGAAGTTCTAGTTCACATATTAGTCATATAGGTACTCCTGCTAATGCTTGGCCACCTTCGGCAACAATGGGTAATTAAAATATAAGAATATTTATAGATATATTTAATATAAAGTTATATTTATTAATGTTATATTTTGATATGTAGGTGGATCTAATGATCAAAGTGTAGATGGCGTATCTTCGGAAAATTTAATGGATATTGGACCTCAAACGACGGCGATTGAAAATGGATTCAGTGGAAATTGGTGGACATATCCACCGCCTCCGTTAAGTCAATTACAACATGGTAAGATATATTTGATAAAAAATATATATAAATTTTAAATTAAATTTTTTATTCAATATTTATAATAAAATAACTTTCAAATATATTTTATAGGCTCAGCAGAGTATTATCGACAACTCTTATTAGGTTCTCAAGCGCAACAACTTCAAATGATGGGTACTACGATACAACAATGTTGTCAACTATTATGGTCTCAACAACGAGAATTACAAGCTATGCGTGCAGCTATTACTCAATTACAAGCTCATTTGAGACAAACACAATTACAACAGCGAAATAATAGCGAAAATAACGATGAATATTCTAATTTAAGTCGCAATATTCATCATCTTGGTGAAACATTAGATTCTGCATTACCACCAAGTTCATCTTTGCCAAATCTGGTATCATTACCAAATTCTTCTCCTGCATTATCTCATATTGCTACAACATCTTCTGTTAATTCTCAACATCAGCAACAACAATTGAATAATCAAGTTCCTCCTGGGAATAGAGCAAACAACTACTGGGATAATTTCAGAAGGTAATAATATGTACATATATATGTTAATGATGACATGAATTTTATTATTATTTGTCTTAGTGCAGTAGAAATGTTATTGTTATTGAAACGATTAATATAAATTACATCATACATTAAATCGAGATTTTTAAGCATGTAATCATTTAGTACAAAGATGTATTTGATAAAATTTCAAAATATTTGTTTTATGATTTATGGAATTTAAATTTATAACTTTTTCTCTATATGAAATTATTTGATGTTTTCTTTTTAATTTAATATCATTAAAAAAACAAATTTTTTTTATGACTGTAGGTAATTTTGTATTCAGATCTTGTGCATATTCATCTCCCATCTTTGTATAAATCTAATGTATCATTACATAAAGTAATAAACTTCACGATCTATCTCTGCACTTTTTTTTATTGTATTTCTTACTTATTACTACCCTCGTTTAAGCTATATCACAAAAAATCAATATTAATTTGATTATCAATCTGTAAACCAAAGATTAGTAAATAAGAATGAGGATAGTATATTGGTACGTAAATTATGGGTACGTAATATATATTTGAGAATTATATAATGAAATATTTTAACTAACAATAAGTATTTAATATAATAATCATAACTATTTTTCTGTGATATCTGTTGTGTTTTCTTTTATCTTTTTAAAGTATATACTCAAAATTGTTTTTTTATCATTTTAATTATATCATATATCTTTTCAAGCATGGTATGAATAGTTTGAATAAAATTTTCTATTTATTGATTTGATAAATATATATTTTTTAATTATATTTTCAGTTATTCCAGACAAAATTTACTCTCTGGAAATATAAAAACAATGACTGATACTACTTCTGGGCCCATTGCAAATACATCTGGAAATACTATATCAAGTGTTAATACTTCTCTTATGTACGTAATTATATAAATTATTTTTAACAACTATTTTATCTTTAAAAACTAAATGCAAATTTTAACATATTGTTAACAAAAGGAAGGATAAACGTAATCGAGATCAAGGAACTGATAATATACCTTTACCTGCCTTAAGTGTAGCAGAAACACAATATTCTTCAAATTTGCAACTACAGTCTAACTTGCAGCAACAAGAACGAGAAAATACCGTTATGCGTAGTAATATCTTAACAAATGAAGTATCTCAACAACAAGTTGATAATCTTTGGGAAGATACACATTCATCATTTCGATTACCATCTGTAATAAATGATGATAATCCATTTCAAAATTTAAGGTATATTTTTTTGAATTATTTTTTACTAAGAAAAGAAATTTAAAAAAAATATATAATGAAATTAAATTTCTAAAATTTCTAAAATTTTATGTAGTTCTGAAATGAAAGAAGTATTAAGTTCACTCATACATGTGAATAAAAACCGGCCCGATTATCTTGTTATTATATTAAGAGAAATCAAAGCCATAAGCGAAGATCATAGATTGCGACCTCGTTTATGGAGATCATTGCGTGCTTTACAAGATACACAATCTCTAAGTAATCCATTGGTTTGTATATTCATAATATATATTTATATATATTAAGTATCAAATATTAAGTAATATATATCCTCTTGATAATTTTACAATATATTTATATGTATTTTTAAAGAATGAAACAACTGATCAAACTGCCAGTGAAAGTTGTCAATCTAGTGATGAAGATTCCGAGGTAGATGTAGTATTAGGTATGGGAACAGAAAATCATTCTATAACAGAACTATTTGTATCATCTCAAGCAGGAACTTCATCTCCTACAGCACATATACCTTTAATAGATCATTTAGATATACCAGTAAGTATTATTGTGAGCATAATATATTTTTAAATATTTAAAGAAAACAAAAATTTATATTTTTCGTATATTTTATAGGGAACATCTTCAGCTGATTCTGCAGGTATTCTGCCTTTAACATCTATTAAACCAGGTTACAATGAAGATTTAGCAGAAGCAGATCAGTCAAGACCCGAATCTTCTGGTAATCAACAGGTATTTTAAACATATATTTTAAAGTTATTTGATTAAATAAAATAAAATATGTCCAAAATATATGAATTATATAGCTTCCTGACAATGAAGAAGAAAATGAAGATCAAGGTGAAGTAGTAGGTCATACTGAATCTGCACAAGCAAGATTTAGTGGTGAAGGAGATTTAGAAAGTTTAGCTGCTAAAGCTGAAGATGAAAGGAATGAAGATAATGCAATATTTTGATATTGAATTACATTAAAAACTATCTTTAGTTGTATACATAATCATTGAATACATACTATAAGATTAATACATACCTTTTTTTAATTATATATAATATATTATAATGCTATCAAGAGCATATTTTATAGTACTGATTGAAATTATAATTTCTTTTGTAAATTGTTTACTTATTTATATACTAATTTAAATACTTGTCAATATTAATAATTCAAATACAAAAATATGAAATATATGATACAATTTTTTTATTTATAATGTGATTATAATTAGTTATAATTAGTTTATGGTAGTTATAATTAGGTTATAAGGTCTGATTTAAAAAATATATATATATATATATATATATATACACATATATATAAATATTTATTTTTTATTATACATATACTAGAATGTAGTGACATGTATAAGTGCATAAAGAATGTATGTTTTGTGATACAAATAAAAAAGAATATAAACATTAAAAATAATTATCTATATTCTATTTAAAATTCTGTGCAATCATTATTATCTAATTGCAAACGATAAAATTGATATATCGAACATCCATGTGTTTCAAATAACATATTTTCATATTCAACAATGTTTTCAAGTGATTTATGACTATCATTGAATAACAATTCTTCACAATTTGAATTATTTAAATTAATATAACTGTCTACTGCCCAATTCTTATTTTTAATCATAGATTGTTGCACATTATTATCAATAATATTTACTTCAAACGCTTCTGATTCACAAGATGTAATGGTTGAGCCATAGTCCTTTGTTGTATCTTCATGTACATGGTCCTTACCACCGCCTCTGAAAGGAAACCCATTGCCTTAACTCTTAATTTAACCGAATACCTCCTATACCATTTATTGTTTTCAGCAAATTATATCCTTACCATGAAAAAAAGACCAAACTTACTAAGTGTCATTAGTTTATGAAAAAATATAAGCATCCATGCTTTCCATTGCATACCATTATCCATGGTACAGAAGATGACAGGATGCATTAAGCTTCAAAATAAATTTAATGCCAGGATCGGATGAAAATCTCTGTGATCACATGTAAATATACAACTCTTTTCCCCCCATAGGAAGGAAAACTGAATATTCATATATTTTAATATTTATCATTAGCGATATACTAATAGAATTGAAGCAACAATAAATAAATTTCACAATGATATTCAAATTTAATATTCGAAAAATATTGTTACTATTACTATACTTAAATATTACGTACTTTTCATAATAAATATTTTTCCGTGCTTAAAAATTTCCCGCTTAAAAATAAGAAAGGAACAAACAACGACCTCTAACAAGATCTATTTAAAGTATATACGAATATAAATTAATGAAACCGCGATTTTGTATAATTAATAAATTGATAATCATAATATTCTTATTAAGTTTTTACCTTAAAGAAATATAAAAAAATAGAATTATGAATTTTTTCCTACCTCTTCGTAACTTTTTCAGTTGACTTGTGGGATTGAAATCGCTGTTGTGTCGCTTCCGACTTCTGCGTTGAAGCATATCCGCATCATAAGTTGTTTGTTGTTGTGATTGTAATTTGTCACTAGTTTTTAACTGATTTTGTACTGTTGCTTTTAAAATTATAGAATCGTTGTTCAAATAATCAGACGTCATAGAATAATCACATCCGTCTTCATCAATTTCCATAAATGTATCGTAAGAGCAACAATCGATTAATGATGGTTTTGAAATTCCGATATGTTCAAGCATAACGTTATGTTGAGTTTCTTTTTTACAATGTTGTACACAACCATAATACATGTTTGACGATACGAATGATGGAGCAATGATTCTTGATTGATACACAGCATCATTTGTTATAGCCATTATTATTTTCTTTTACAAATGATTTTTTAATACTAGAATGAATAATACAAAAATATGTTTTTATATATCACTTAGAATGAACTTAATCACATAAGATTGCAAGAAAACATAAAACACTAATAGACACAATGTTCACAACTTTCCAAAGAAGAGTAACGAATATTCGGGTCAGAAGCCGAATCCACTCGAGTAATGAATCGGCAATTTTCGGCTTTTCTCGCCCGATTTAGTTAGTTTCTTTAAATCCCCACCAATTTATTTTCAACAATCGATCTATATATGAAAATTTATATTGCTTATGTCAGAATCTGACTCAAGTTCTTAAAACAATTTCTGAATAACAAATTTATTTTTAATTTGATTTTCAGATATTCAAAATAGAATCATAATATTTCCATAATTAATTGCTGTTAATTGCTATCGATATTATGATTTAATATATGTATAATGAATCTTTGAAAATATTTTAGAGATAAATTTTAGATATAAATTTTTACTTAAGTAAAAATATCAATTATTTCTTTATTATTTAAATGATTTAAATTTTGTCTAACATATCACACACACACACACACACACACACACACACATGCACATATTATATATTACCAAATATGTTACGAAGTATAATCATAGATAAAACATAGTATAGACTTACCATCTTATAAAACCTTATACTTTTTGTTTTGAAATCCATAAATATCATTGTATTAAATATGTTCTATACAATTTATAATGATAAGTATAGGAATTACATTTAATCTATCGAAGTTGATATAGAAAGTAGAAATAAAAATGTCGCTTTTTTTTATATTGTTATATATGTATATGTAATACAATATAATTATATTACATATACATATAATACATATAAAAGAGATACAAAATAAATTTAATAAATATTTCTTTTTTGTTTCATGAATTTTTTTTATCCCATGCTTCAAAAATATTAAAATTTCATGTCAATTTAATATTATTTTCAATGCTTTAAATACTTAAGTATTTGTATTAGTATATATTAAAATATATTATTGATCTTTTGGAAGATAGCTATTTTATACATTGCAAAACCAAGAAAATTATATCTACATTTTTTATATATATATAAAAAATTATATTAAAAAAAAAAAATTATATATATTATATATAAAAAATTAAGAAACATTATAATTTTGAAAAAGACGATAAAAATGTGTTCACTTAATATTTTGTATATTTATTATCTGTAATCATGTGCCAAATTATATATATATAAATAAAGAAAAGAAATAGTGGGAAAAAAATAGAAATAAAGTAAAAATAATATATAAAAAGAATAGAAAGTGAGAAAAAAAGAAAATAGGACAAGAATTGATTGTCAGTGCCATCTTTTGATTAAAATATTTTTTCAAAAGGTAAGATAAAATAAAAGACTAGCGCCATCTATCGACAACTGGTTAAACAAAAAATGTTAAAATATTTGAAGAAATGTCTTTAGCGCTTAAGAGATGGCGCTTATTGTTTATTCTTATCTCTATCTTTCTATCTCTATCTTTTTCTCACTACTTCTTATCTTTTTTATATGTTTCATTTGCGCCACTCTGAAGATGGCGTTAATTTCAATATTTTTATCCTATCTCTATCTTTTTTTCGCTATTTCCTCTCCTTGTCCGTATGAATTTTGCAAAATTTATATCCTTACTTATCCATTTTTGATATTTGATTATGTTTTCTTTGTTTAATTTATCGATTAATAATATTATTGCAATCCATTTTTATTTTCAATTTTTACATATCTATTATTTTTTTTTATTTCGTATATTTTATATGTCATAGAATATAAATTAATATATTATATATTATATATTATATAAAAATATGTATAATATATAATATATTAATTTACATATTAATTATTTTTATATACATTTTATATATTAAACAAAATTCAATGCAATAACACAAAAAGTTTCATTTTTACGAATATCTAATGTTTTGTTGCTTGAAATAAAATTGTTTAAAATCTAATCTACAGAATATTTCAAATTTAGAAAATATCTTCTTTGAAAATTTTCAAATTTAAAAAATGCCTTTCCTGTTCGAATACATTTACCTGGGGAAATGAATTACACGTTGCAGTGCTTTTGCCCTTTTTTGCCTTTTCAAAGAGCCCTTTCCGGATAATTTTGGTATTTATGGGATTAATGTTTGTGCTATGAACAATATACACACATACACACACACATTATATATATATATGTATAAAATGATGGGTTTTCGATAGATCGACAGGACAGCTGTCGTGGACACACGCCGCTAAGCAGCTTATGTCGATTCATGAAAATTTTTGCGCTTTTTTGGAAAATCGATCTCTAATCCGACAGGCATTAGAATTATCGGTAATTTCGCCCGAATGAAATGATAATTGATTCGAGGGGGGACGTTGCGGATGAACCCTTCACAGAATGGCGTGTGTTTGCCAAGGAAAAAGAATTTTTACATACGACATATTTTTATCGATAAACGTATCTAAGATTCTCGAAAAAAATTCTCATAATTTGTAATATGAGGATTGATTTAACAAACGGAAAAAGATTCCTACAACAACGAACGATTCGACATTTTTCTATTCGACGATTGAAAATTTGTTTATTTCGACGAAAAACGAATTTCAAATTCATATTTCATTCACTATTTTGCGTGTCAATTGTTACAATGTTTAACATCGTTAAATACTCTTATCTTTGCAAATAAGTAATTAGATTAACTCGAAACTCTTTAAATAACGTTTAAATAAAGAAATTATGGAATTATGGAGAATGAAATCGTTGTTCTGCAACGTCCACGTTCCAACATTCGAGATGTCCTAATTCTGAATTATGTCAAACGTATCGTTGAAGATTACAAGTTACAAATGAGACTCATATATCGCCGGATTATATCCCGTTTGATACAGAACTGAAAGAGGAACCGCAGGCCTGAGTAAATAAGGTGGATGGTAATGGGTGGGTTCTTGCCAATAGAGAAGAACAGCTTGTCCTCATAGAGAAATCGCAGTGCATCATGGTTGATACGTGTGAACACGTGAAAATGGCAGCATATGCTCGCAGAGGCAATCGCATAACTCACAGCAATGTCATTTTCAAAATGGGAATGACCGAAAGGATCGGGCGAAGATCGGTTTGTAATAAGAATTATTGCGAACAGAAAATATTATATGTACTTATATAACGAGATAGAAAGAAATAAATAATTCATCGATGTATAATTAAACCGTTGATTATTGAAAATTCGATTTGGGCGAAAATGGACAATGATGTAATTCAACGAGTTATTGTAATTAATTGTATCGTTAATATCGTGCAAATTTTTAGTTTTTTAAAGAATCGTATTTAAGACTTTGAACTCAGAAAAGTTACTTATTGTTTTATGATTATTTTCATGGATAATGATATTATCTCTTATTTAGCGATTTTGTTCTACGGACATTAAATAAATGTAGATGAAACTAATTAATGAAAAATCAAAGGATAGTCATTATTATTTGTTGAATTAGATCAATCACTTTATTTATATTGTAATGTTTCTTCATCATTCGTATTTATCTTTAGATAATACCTAAAGTCATTTAAAAATACCAGATATTGCAAAATGTAATTCCTAACCTGTTAATAATGATTGATTGAATTAATTACAAATCATGTTACTTACGAGAAAATTTCTTCGCAAAAGAATATTTAAATCACGAGTCGCGAGTCAATATTTGGCGCGAGGATGCGATACAATGCACTTTGAAACGGAATTTTCGATACATAAAACAAAAAAATAAGAAAAAAAAAAAAAAGAAATCCAATACTACGCTTCACTTTTTTTTCATAGATGTTGTTATTTTAGGAATGCTTTGACGAATTTATCTACTCCGTTCACAAGTGTACTCTTCGTATCGGACGAGTCGGCGAGCGAATAACGCGATGTAATAAACGCGATATTTCTACAGAACAATCGAACGAAACTTTGCTTTTACATCAAAATTTAATTTCCCTTCTATAAATCCTAATAACTCCACGAAATATCGAAACAACATAGAATTATTATCTCGCCCGTAATTTTTTCGCTCACGCTCATCGTGAGAACGCGAGTTTGTTTCGACCACGCTCTACCGTCTATGCTCTTTCCGACGGGATATAATTTATCGCGAAGTACAAGCATTGCGTAACTAACACGGCATAACTAAAGACGAGCCCTCGACGAGTCGGCGCTCGACGCCACTCGAACACACAATATCGAAATGCTGAAACGGTGTCTCTCTCTCTTTCTCTCTCTCTCTCCGTGTCGTTCGAGTTTACGTTGGTAAAAAGGAGGGGGGGGGGGACTCGACATTGTCAACGTTTTACGAGCGATTCGATCCACGTTTACGACATTGGGGAGAGGCGTAAGTAAGTAGTCGAGTATTTCTCTTTCTGTATGTTCTCGTACGCTCCGTTATTTTACGATCGACGAAATACAATCGTGAATTTAATCGAATCGGACGATAATTAATAAGTCGAAAAGTGGGCAATGTTGATAAATTCTTCGATTTACTTGGCAAACTGATTCAATCTTGGATCTCGAATTTAGTCTCATCCTATATTTTCGACTTTTTTTTTTTCGAGAAGATTTCTTTTTGATTAAAGACTCTCCTCTTCGACGTATCGTTAAGAAATCGTTCAATTTTCTTCTCCTTAGCGAAACGCGGACGTAGCACTCCATTAGCCTTTCTCGATGAATCATTTCCGGATGGATCGTTCCTCGATACTTTTCCTTTCCTCCTAATGTAATTTCGATATACCTCGTGAAAAATTCGTATATAGATACATATATATATATACACACACCTATTTGCTTCGATTAATTAAATAGTAAAATGATACTTTATTGAATTATTGAAAATTATACAGTTTATTACCGTAATAATTAGTTAATTACCACAAGGGTAAGGGAAAATTTTGTATTTGTTATGAACGAGATATGATATTTCTAAATGTTTCAAGCTGCAACGATCAATTTTTGCCACGAATCCTGTGAATTTATCCTGTGAAAAAAAACGCGAGGAATTATATACATCGCTCCCACAAAAATAGATCAAAAATTCCCCTTTTGGAAAGAAAATTTCGCTCGAAGCCGGGACCGGTTCGAGGTTTATAAGCGGTTTCACTTCGATTTAAGCGAATGCTCCACGATATAAGCTCCACGATTTCTCGATTATTTCGACAGAAGTGTGGAGCAACGGGATGTTTTTTTGTTCCGTCGGGGGACAGAGGAAGAAGAAGAGAAAATCAGTCTCAGCCAGTTGCAAAGTTTCCAACGAGGGGGGAGGGGAGAGGAGGAGGGTTTGGCGCGGTAACCGGACCAAATTAAACTTCCGTCTGTGTTTCAGGAACGGAAAACCGAAGAGCGGGGTCACTCTCGTCATCGATTTTCTCGCCTCCCCGCGATATTCCGGTTTCTGGAAATTGGCACGATAAATCGTGATACGTTGGTTTAACGATGTCCTCGATGCCTCGAAAA